ACAAAAAATAAAGAAGAGCATTAACTTTCAATTCTCCTACAGGCATTGCTTCACAGCTCATGGCTATTGCTTTTTCAATTTCTCCCCAGAGAGCCAGGAGTTATTACTCCTGTCGATGGAGGAGAAAGGGATGTTATTCCCCTGTCACCCACCCAACTCTGGCATATTCCCTTCTCTGATCTATAGCCTTCCATAGCAAAAAAAGTGTCTGACATGCTGTTAGTTCTCAACTATGTCAGATTCATCTACCTGTACCAATGGAATTATTTTCCAGGGCAAGAGTGACACAATGTCACAAGAGTCAGATAAGAAAAGAATTTCAAAACAAATACAATGTGGGAGAGACACCAGGTATAATGAGGCAAGCACAAAAAGGGCATATTGAAACTGAAGTATGGGTTTAATTATTCACCAAAGATACAATAAAACAAACAATCTCCTGTGTTGTGTACAAGTCTGCAAGTCTTTTAGTCTCTTGTAGTCTATGTTAGAGGTCTATAAATTACAGACTGCATTTTAGAGTTGAACCGAAAAAGTAGCACTGATAACTCGATTAGATTTGTTTTTGATTAGAATTGGAATAAAGACATTTTCCTGGGATGAATGAATGTGCTTTATATGGTCTCCGAACTACGGATTTTTCTCTGCAATAGCAGTCATGCCACATCTTTTAAGTGCTCATATGTAAACAAAACATTACATCTCAAATTCTCCACCTATTTTGATGGGGATTTACTTTCCTGGTAGTCTTATCAGCGGTGCAAGTTAGTATGCTTATCTATGAGCAAATATGTATTTTGTTAATTTTTTTTGCCACTTCAAAACAAATATTTTAATTCTTCAGTCTGCAAAATTAGAACACCATGAAGCATACATAACGGCACATAAATGTGGAAACTAATTAAACCCTACAAGCTTTGAATTTCATCCAATTAATATTATCTCAGAAAGCCTGGCATTTTCGTTTGGTTTGCTCAGTACACCCTATAATTAAATGATCCATTTCCAAAACTTCATTATTCGATTTGTCAAAATATGCATACATCGTAATTATACACCATGTCACAAATTGATATTTGATTTTCCAAACAAAAATAGCAAACTGCATACTGCTCCACCAGAGATATGGGTTTGCTAGCAAAGTGTTTACGTCAAAGAGTTTGTGCATTTTCTTCAAGGTTTTCGAAATGTTTAACAGGTCTGCAAGTATTAATTTTCATTTTTCCAATTGCAGAAATCCCACATATTTCTGTGCTAAAAACTACTGTGTCGTTACAGGTTAATTTTTGTGCTTTGACATAAACACGTGCGGTAAATGCCTTTATAAGAAGAATAGGACACATACTGGAAATGGAGTGAATGTGGCAACACTGAATACATAGTGGTCATGACACACTTTATTTACTGTAACTGAGCTGCAATTAATGCCAGAATCAGAGAGCACCAGCTGTTAAATGGTTGACAAAGAGGGGAAGTTTAAAGCTAGCTTCGGCTTAAATTTAACAGTACCCTGAGGAAACCGAATCTGAGGTCAACCTTTCTTTTCTTCTTAAACTGTATTGTTTTTTTTGTGGTACATGTCATTCCTGGGGATTCTTCTAAATTAAACTTCACCCAGGGCGTATTCTCACGGAATCAGCAACCAGTGTCATGCTACTGTAATTTTTTTTACAATGGAGTACACTTTAATAAAATACATTCAATATCTCAGTTGCTGCATCTATTTTACACTCTGAAGTGTGGTTGCGAAGCATAGATACCTGTGATGTGAAGCTAAACATAAAATAATCCGGTGAGAAATAGCCGTCTGCCAAGTTCTATTAAAAGATCATGTGCAATCTGCAGGGTTAGACACTCCTTTTAACCTACTTCTTTTTAAGCCTTCAAATGTTGAATAACCACAAAGAAAACCTCAAATAACACAAATCAGTATGAGACTTTTGCTGGTTTCACTTCATTCTCAAGATAATCAGGCAAACCTCAAGGATATTGATTTAATGTAACAATCTATAATAGAATCCCCACAGTGTGGAAACAGGCCATTCGGCCCAACAAGTCCACACCAACCCTCCAAAGGGCATCCCACCCAGACCCATCCCCCTACTCTATCCCCGTACCCTGCGTTTCCCATGGCTAATGCACCTAACCTACACATCCCTGAACACTACAGGCAATTTAGTAGGGCCAATCCACCTAACTTGCACATCTTTGGACTATGGGAGGAAACCAGAGCACCTGGCAGAAACCCAAGCAGACACAGGGAGAACGTGCAATCTCCACACAGACGGTCACCTGAGGCTGGAATCAAACCCGGATCTCTAGTGCTATGAGGCAGCAGCATTAACCACTGAGTCACCATGTTGCCCCTACATTATTCAATCCTGCTTGTGAGTACTACCATTTATTGGCTGGGGAATGTTGAAACCGAGACTGTGTCAGTTTGTTCAGTGTTTCAGATTGCCCTTAAAGATCCCATATCACTATCTGAAGAAGAGCAAGGAGTTCCCCTTTCTCCTGCATGGCACTCCATCATTCAATCCCAAAAAGAAAGCATTTACTTAATTGCAGGATCTTGCTACGTATAAAATGGCTGCTATATCATAAAAGTTGAACATACAACATCTGAATGATGTGCTAAAGTGCTGTTTAAATGATGCTTTCTCTTTGACTGGTTTACCTGACACAGAATTTCCAAAGTACCACACAACACTGATGGGGTTATTTGATCATCTATGTCTATGCTTATGCTTATAATTTTCAATCTCATTCTGAATCAAGTCTTCATTAATCTCTTTTAAAAGAGCCAATTGGCATAAAATAACCACTCTTTTGTTTTAGGCATTAGCTCAATATGTCCACTGCACACTGAGGAAGGAAATATGTTCCAGTCTCAGGTTTCAGTTGAAACTGATCAATGTTATGCCTATGTCCTCTATTTATACAAACATCGCCAAGCTAAATAATCTTTTCATTATGTCTGCATTCCTCACCTTATCTTTGAAGACCTAGATCATGTTCTCACTCAATTTACTTTTTTTTGCTGACAAAAATAACTTCAAGGACTATAGGTCCATAAAAGATATAGGTTTAAATCCTGGGATCATCCTGCCCCTTTTTCTCTGAACCCTCTGCAAAAAAATAAGAAATAAGACAGAACTTTCATTTACATAGCACCTTTTCTGACCCCCAGTTTGTCTCAAGGTATCTACCAATCAATAATGCACTTTTAAATTGCTGTCAATCAGGTAATGTTTGCAATAAAAGTTTAAAGCTAGTCACTCAAATCTGGATATAGCAAGGTATAGGCCCAATTTATGTGTACTTGAGCCACCTCTGGAAGTCTTTAATATGATGGCTGAGACACTGAGATGGAGGGTTCTGCCTTTATTTCTGTCATATCACATTTTAGCCAGCAGGAAGAAGGTATAGAGTGTGAATCACACAGGCAGGAAACTCAATCTGAGCAGGGCCATCTTAAATTTGTGTTGAGTTCAAACAGCTAACATTTTCACTGTTCCTAGAGCTTTTATCCACTCGATAGGAGTCATGAGTTGATGAAGGAGATTTAAATACTCAAAGGGCTGATAAGTCTGTTTGAGCATAATGAACTTATTTAAATCCCCACCCTTTAAAAATGAAAGGAATTGAGCGCAGCTGTCAATTAGAGTTTAAAAAAAACACATTGCTAGACTGCATTGATTGACACGCCATCTGGTGTAATGTGGAAAAAAAAATCTGTTTTTGCAATTTGCCAAGTGTTGTTATTAGACTTTCAATCATTGTGAATTCTTGGCTGAGTTTCAAAAGGTCCAAAATTAATGACCTCAGCAAGGAGGCGGAGTTCACACATTGACCACTTTAAAGACTATTAAAGGATTAGCTGTCTTTAATGTGGTTACTAAATAGAAGTTTGTTTCCAGGGCTCATGTGATGCATTGGTAGTATCTCTACCTCTGGCTCAGGAGACCCAGGCTCAAGTCCCACCTACTCTGGGATGTGCAATGACATCTCTGATAATGTTGATAAAAAATACCTAGAAGCTTGTTTCTTCATACAATGTACTGACCACTTGACATGATTTAAATCATTGAATACATTTCATGAATGAGAGGTTCATTTTTAGCATCAAGTGTGTATGAGTGAGCGCTCTATTTGAATTATTTAAAGTTTATTTCATTTCTATGTGGCGCCTGATGTCGGTCCAAGTGAATATAATTGAATGACATTGGAAGGTGACATGTGGACTGCGAGATGACATGGAAGTGCCTTGGGGGTGGATTGGGGTGAGGGCAAGAGGGTCTAACAGGCTCTTGTAAAACTGTACTGAAGTATCAGAGAACTCAGGCCAGCATTTTAATCAGCCCACCTTGGCACTTGTCCACCTCTGAACTACCTCCGGAGGCAGGAGACCTTACTCAATCAGAACCTTATATCGCTGATGCAAAAGCCATGTGTCTAGGGGTCATTTCCATGGAGATATATCTACTAAATCCAGAGGTTTTCTAACTTGAGCTTCTAGCCTCCCTGACAAAAATTGATAAGGGAAGATGGACCCCACATTATCCAATGTGTTAAAAATGCTGAAAGGAGCTTTTCAGGTAAAATATAAACAAATATCCCAGAACTGCCAAGACAAGGAAATCTGGGATTGCTCTTCTTTAAGCAGAAGTGAGATTTAATAGATGTGATCAAAAGTATGAAAGGTTTAAATCAGCTACTCATTTTATGAAAGCTTTTAAAGGAAAAGTTGTTTCCATTGACAGAAGTCACCGATTTCAGATAGAATTCAGAAGGAAAATGAGTTTCTAACCATCGAGTTATAATTTGCAGAATCCTCTGCCTCACAAGATGATGCAGCAAGGTGAAAAAGAGAATTGGATATATATTTGATTATTAAACAGGTCTTATGCGATGGCTTTTCTGTGCTCTATGATGCCATTTAACTCTCAGTATTTGATTAGCTGTTACATGACCAGTTTATCTACATATTTTCTCTGAAGAGTACATGACCATGCAGATCACAAAGTCCAGGCCAACAGTTCAGTGCAATACCAAAGGAGAGCTGTTCTGGTGGAGATGTCACTCTTCCAAGGTAACAATAACCAAGATCCCATCAGATAAGTCACTCATTTGTATAATGGCAGCGGTGTTATCCTGGTCTCTAGCTAATTATCTTAATTAACATCACAAAACACAGCTTATTAACTAATCATTATCAAATTGTTTCTGGGAATTTACTGTGTGTAAATTGAGAACTCCTTTCCTACATTACAATAGTAACTAGACTTCAAAATTGCTTAATCAGTTGTAAAACCTCTTCTTCAGATATCCTTTAGGTCATGATTCTTGCTATCTAAATTCAAATCCTTTATATCTTTCAAAGCAATAGCAATACCTTGCATTTGATTAATAATCTGTTACTGTTGGTAGTTCCTAACCTATCCATGAAATTAATGGACACTGTCAACAACAATGCTACATCTAATATTAGAAGGTTCTGATTTGCTGTGTGTGTCACATTCCTGAACCAGGCCACATTGGGAGTAGCACAGAGCTAAAAGCTTTTCTCGGAGATGGAAGTGACCACTCACCACACTTGTGTCTCTCATAATGGCCACTTCAAGTGTGGTCATGGAAAATGGTCTGAGCAGTCAGCATGGCAATGCTTCAGCTGGGAAACAGAGCATTGTGCAGAGAACCCAAATAAGGATAGGAAATGAGTTTCATATTTTATTTTTGTAAATACTTTATTTTCTCCCCACAACCTCTGATAGTAGTACATCTGTGTCAGAATACCACAGAGCCCCTCTAGCTGTACTGTCGCCTCATTATGCAATTTTTTTCACCGCTGATATAATTGAAAACACATTTAACATGCAGCTACATTGCTCAGGCAGCTTTATGCTGTGCATTGCAGTCTTAGAATTGGTTTCTTAAGGGAATTGATTAAACTCACATATGAACTAATGAAAAGTCTCAGGTAATTGCCTTCCATACCATCATACATTTTAATAACTATAAGCATAATGATCTTTGATCTTCCTAAGAAACTGTATGATATATGGAATCAGGCCTGTGTTATAAATGTTGTGACTAGCTGGGACATATTGGTTTTGTGTCATAGGTGAACCTGGTCATTCAGAAATGAAGGCAGAAATTGCTGTGCCAAACACATGCATAAAACATGTCAAAACTCTATGACCTCAACAATAGGCATCTGCTGAGGTGAACATTTAACATTGTTAATTCTCGCTAATACAGCATGTTCAAAACACAGGACTGGATTTAATGTGGTGCATTGTTGGAGAACTTGAGAGACCCATGTCACTTTTATAGGGAAGACCCAACCAAATGAAGTACCCCTCAGGGACTTAGTCCTGGGATTAGAAACCTCTCTCCTGACAGCTAGCTACATTTTTAGCAACACCACTGGTAATATTGAGGACTTCACCAGAGATCATCAGTGGACCCTAGGAGTTATGAGTGAAGGTGGGGAATGGGAATCACAGGGAGGGCATTGTGGGATGGGAGGTAGTTTTCAGCACTTCATTTCTCCTTTCCTCTGCCTCCCGACACCAGCACCCTCAATCAGGCACAGCATTTTTGACTACAAGGGGCCCCCACTGGTAAATGTAACTGAGTTTGCTAGGCGATCTCTGGGGTGTCTAGGATTCCTGTACAAGTTCCATTTAATTCCTGAGCCACAGGTAAATTCCAGGCTCTGGGATAAATAGTGGCAATTAGCTCACTAATTGACCTAATTGTCACCCCTTTGCAATTGGGATTTACCCAATTGGTCCCATTCCATCTCCGTGTTAACCACAGGAGGTTTGTCTGACACGCAGCCTCTCACCGCGTCTATTTAGGGCTGGCTTCCATGTTTTCCACTGCATTCAAGGCCACCCACGGTGTCTGGTTTGCCCCCGAAAGGATTGTTCAAACCTGCATCGCTCTAAAAGTTTTAAAGTTGCAACATTGCTTTTGTGGAACTTTACTTATGTGTAGCTCCAAAAATTGCATTCCTGAACTAAAATTGGCCAACAGCTAGAAATACACAGAAATATTGCGTCTTCAGACACCAACTGACAGTAGTAATAGTGCCACACATTTGTGCTGTAACCTGATTTGCTTGAAGGTTTATTGTAGTGAACAATGCGACTGGCAATAATCTTGCGACCGGCTGCAATTCTGTGAAGACAGGTATAATTAACTGTCTTAATTTTGTGAATTCCATGCAGGATTTCATAGTGTGGTCAAGCCTAGGTGCTCATCTCTTACCACAAAGTAAATCTCACAACGCATGAGGATTTCACCTCCATCACACTGAGCAGTGAAAGACAACAGACTGCAACATTCTTTCCTGGGGGCATCCCAGGCCAGCATAGCAGTGATGTAATCAGGCTGCCAAACTGCCAATCAAATGGAAGGATTTTCATGGACTCACAAGCAGGAGATTTAAAAGCAGGAATCTAGAGAAACTTAAAAGCCTGGGACATCCACATGGAGTGAACACGGAAGATACAGTATTCTGAAAAATAACTTCTAATAAAATCAAAAATATTTGAACAAATATAAGCTGGTGATTAATTATTAATTGGGTCTATTCTATAACATGTCAAATGTTACCAATCAGATCACTGTTGAAAAGCCAGTCACACGGAATTGAACAAGACATCACTTTAGAAGGAGTTTTGAACAGTGATGTGGGAGTGGAAATGTTGAATTCTCATGGTGAATACTGACTCTGGATCCACTTTGCAGCCTGTGTCAGACCAAGGAGTGAGAGATCACTACCTCAGGATTTCCCAATTAATCTGAACATGCCCAATATCCTGAAATTGCACTCAGTTTTTGTTTGGGGGCTGGGTTATGATAGAGAATGCAATTGCCAACCTCTGCTCCAAAAGATGAGGCCTGCATGTTCAAGCCTGGGTACTCTTCACCGACCATTAATACTTCAGACAATCTTGTACCATTCCTTCACTACCTGCCCTCTTTACTCAGCAGCCTAATTGGTCTGTGTTCAAGTCTTTTTCACCACTGATGTAACACTGCACAACAACACAGAAACCCAATCCTATTGTACATGGAAGTGCCAAGAGGAAATATAATATTGCCAAATGGTTATCCCTGGCACAGCAGCAGGTAATCTTTCCTAAGTACTTAGTGAGGTTCTTAATACTTGTGAATATGAATAGTAATTTGCTTCCATCATTAAAGTTCAAAAAATAGGTTAAACACTAAAAAGGCTATTTTATCTCCCAGCACACACTGCCCCTTGCTTTCGGTAGAAATAGTGTAGTTTGGGGGCTAAAGCTAACCCAGTGAGCTAGGATAGAGTCACTGTCCAACTCTGAGACACTCCACAATTTTAACTAGCTTGAAATAATCAAAGTGGAAAGATGAAGCTGGGGACAGGTGAAGCTGAGGAATCTTCAGCCTCAATTGGTTTTGTTTGTGTTCACTTTAACCACCTGTCAATAAAAGCGCATGTTTGGAGCTGTCCGACTGCTTGCCTGTATGTGATGAATCCCTGCCAGACAATGACAAGCCGAGTGTCTACAGTGGGCATTGGAGACTTGGAGACTTGGAGACATGGTCGCGCTGACTTAGAAAGTGTTCAGACAGGATGTAACCACTGACAAGTAAACTACGTGGTGTGGTGGTTAAACAGCAATTACGGAAAGGGAATGAACGGGGAGGATGAGGGAGTCTCAGCTATGTTGCATACGTGCTGTGGGCAGCATGGCTGCTGTACCACAATGTTGCCAGTGAGAAGCAATACCGATTGCCAATGGTTGTCTAGCTGCACAGCAACCTTACAAAGATGGCATGGACACACGGGATTCTGGTCTATTGGCAGATATCCACTGAGCGGTGAGTTATTCCAGAAACAGCATGCAGTAAGATCTCTGTCCAGCATCGGCAGTTCTTATTATCACTGATGCAATAAGATGGGGCTAGAATTGTACATGAGGAATGCCTTAGCGGCAAGATAGTTGTTAATGAGGTGAGTTTATTAACTCACAGCGATAAAACGTGTTACATAGAACATAGAACAGTACAGCACAGTACAGGCCCTTCGGCCCAAGATGTTGTGCCGACCTATTATCCTACTAAGATCTTTCTACCCTGCATACACTACATTTTATTATCCTCCATATGCCTACCCAAGAGTCGCTTAAAAGTCTCTAAAATATCTGACTCCACTACCACTGCCAGCAGCGCATTCCACACACCCACCACTCTCTGTGTGAAGAACCTACCTCTGACATCTCCCCTATACCTTCCTCCAATCACCTTAAAATTATGCCCCCTTGTAATAGTTATTTCCGCCCTGGGAAAACGTCTCTGACTATCCACTCTATCTATGCCTCTCATCATCTTGTAAACCTCTATCAAGTCACCTCTCATCCTTCTTTGCTCCAATGAGAAAAGCCCTGTTTCCCTCAACCTTTCCTCATAAGACCTGCCCTCCAGTCCAAGCAGCATCCTGGTAAATTTCCTCTGCACCCTCTCTAAAGCTTCCACATCCTTACTATAATGAGGTGACCAGAACTGTTATGCCTCAATGAGGAAATCCCTCAAAAAAACTCGTGCAGCCCGGACTTAGCCAAAAAATATGTAAGATTCAGCCTTTTGTATTTGATTATATTTGGTTTTGTACAGTGCATATCTTACTGCATCTAAAAGCAGCTAATTTTACAAACACAAATGATTTTGTTGTTGTAACTACTGATACCCCAGAATTGTGTTCATTTCAAACCTAAATCTACTCTCAGCATGGAGAAGATATGGGACGTAACATTTTTAAAACTTAGTGCAATATGTATATAATACTATGTGGGAACAAACCTCTGTAGATGCTGGAAGCTGTATGGAAAACAACAAATGCTGGAGATCACAGCGGATCAGACAGCATCCATGGAGAGAGAGCGAGCTAATGTTTCAAGTCTCGATGACTCTTCATCAGAGCTTAAGTGAAGTGTAGAGGGAGCAGCATTTATGCTTTATGTGGGGGCAGGGCTGGGTTGGGGTGTCGAGTGCTGGGAGACAAAAGCATCTTGTTTTTCTCCCAGCACTCTACACCCCAACCACAACCCTGAACTATTGTAAATGCTGCCCCCGCCACACTTCACTTCAGCTCTGATGAAGAGTCATCCAGACTTGAAACATTAGCTTGCTCCCTCTCCATGGATGCTGCCTGACCCACTGTGATCACCAGCTCTTGTTGTTTTCAGTCCAAATAGATAATACTGTTGTACTGATGTCTTCAGTACCTATAATGCTGAGACCTTGTATTTGTTTCCGTAGTTACTGCAATGTCTTCTGGAGATATTTCGACCTCTGTCTTTCCTCCGGGAACAAATCTAGATACAAGAACTAAATAATGCAGCATACAGTCAAGCAACAACCCTGGAAGCGTGAGCTGTGAGTGGCCTCACTGAAACACCTTAACACTATTCTTGCTCTTTGCCATTTACATGAGAAAGTGGTAACAGCGATTACAGATCACCGGAATATTAATGGAATGGAATGTTGATGAGCTCCACAGCTTTGTGTTGTGGCCCTCTGAGTGCTACGTGTGTACAGACTATAGTGAAGCCCATCGATGTGCCTTAGTCCTACTGCCTGGGCTACAGCACTGGTCTCATCATTGAGAAACAAAATATACTGGTGTGATTTTGCACAGTTTGCATCAGTCACTGCCCAGATTGATATTTGTAGGTGCATGGCAGAGACACTGCCACACAGCTCACCCACCACTCCAAGAAGGAGCAGTTACACAGGAGCCCAAAGCCTGCTGTCACTTTCACTGCCACCAGGAGAGGATGGCCTCCCACTCCTGCAGCCCAAAGCTCCTGCCCTAGCACCCGGCACAGTTCCATCACGGTGGCCCAGGACATACGGAGCCCAAGTAGTACTGAGTCTCAGGAAACATAGTTGGGCTTAGCAAATTAGTCGGACAGAAGCAGTGGCGCTCCTTTTGTTACAGCGATAGGTTTCTGGATTGCTGTGGACAGAGCTATCTTGCTTGCTTTCAAGCCTTCCCTGGTAGCCTAGTGGTTAGGATTCGGCGCTCTCACCGCTGCGGCCCAGGTTCAATTCCCAGTCAGAGAATGCAAGCTGTCCCTTTAGGCGGCATGGTGGTACAGTGGTTAGCACTGCTGACTCACAGCGCCAGGGGACCTGGGTTCGATTCCAGCCTCGGGCGAGTGTCTGTGTGGAGTTTGCATGTTTTCCCTGGGTCTGTGTGGGTTTCCTCCGGGTGCTCCGGTTTCCTCCCACAGTCCAAAGATGTGCAGGTTAGGTGGACTGGCCGTGTTAAATTGCCCATAGTGTTCGGGGATGTGTAGATTATGTGGGTTATATGGGTCTGGGTGGGATGCTCTGAGAGTCGGTGTGGACTTGTTGGGCCGAAGGGCCTGATTCCACACTATAGGGATTCTATGGATGCGGATAAATTCTGGGCCACCTGTGGATGCCTGCTGCCAGCCCTGGTCCTCCTGCATCCAAGGTAGCCACAGTGACCAACATATCACCTCATTATTAGGCGCTGCATGTCTTACTGTCTGGAGCCATATGGCATGAGACTCACTGTGGAAATAACCTCCATTGGGAATACAGGAAACAGAAGACGTTCATAGATCTCAGAAGAGTCATCAGTTTCACACCCTGCAGTTGAGGGCTGCACGCATTTCTCCCGACACAGTGAGACACGCAGCACCCTATTAATGCTGGCCACGTCTCCATCATTCGTTCAGCACCAGCCTCAACTTGTGCAGCAACTTGGTAACAGAGCTATGCCAGCTTAGTGACCGGCACATTGTATCAAAAGGGGCTCCGAACCCCTTCATATTCCAGATCTAGATCAACCATTCAATGTCTTACTGCATTCAGTACAGACCATTGTTAAACTTAACATGGCGATGGCCTGAGTACCCACAGAATTCTTGGAAGTTGCACTGATAATGTTTCACTTTTGGCCAGAATTGGCCTTTTTTTTTAGCATCATTGCTGCTAATTTCACATCACTGAGGTGCCATGTTCAATTTGCAAGCACCGATGGCGTGGTGCAAATCACCTTTGACCGCCACCTTTACTCTGCATACATAACAAGTAGTTGATAAAATGATCACCACATTGAATGAAGCTGGAGTTTGCAAGTGGCTGCTTCATGTATTTGTTCACAATGTAGGAGCAAATTACCGCAGATGCTGGATTCTGTACTGAAAACAACAAATGGTGGAGATCACAGCGGATCAAACAGCATCCATGGAGAGAGAGCAAGCTAACGTTTCGAGTCTAGATGACTCTTCATCAGACCTCAAGTGAAGTGTGGCGGGGGCAGCATTTATGCAATAGTTGGGGGTATGCAGAGTTGTGATGGTGGTGGAGGTGTAGAGTGCTGATGGAGAAAAGATGTTGGTAGCTCAGATTAAGTGATCGGAATGTGAGAATGGCCGAACAATGGTGTGTCTAACTGCCAGACTTGAAAGAGAAATCAGTCGCACTGGAGTGGGGGGAGGGGAGAGAGGACATGGTGATAAAGAATTTAACAGGTAAAAGAA